AGAGAGAGAGACAGAGAGAGACAGAGAGAGAGAAGGAGAGAAAGACAGAGAGAGAGATACAGACAGACAGACAGACAGACAGACAGAGGGAGATAAAGAGAGACAGAGAGAGAGACAGAGAGAGACAGAGAGAAAAAGGCAGAGAGACAGAGAGAGAGAGAGAGAGAGAAAGAGAAAGAGAGAGAGAGAGAGAGAGAGAGAGCAATTTGTTGTGGTCCGTTGGGTAATTTAAATATTATTATGGAGGAAAGGATCGTTTGTGGGTGGAGAGAGTGAGAGGCGCGTCCGGTAATGAGGATACGGCGTCGTTTGATATAACAGAGAAGGTGAGAAGAGAGACACCCAGTTGTCGAGAGCGGGCTCGAAGCTCACAACAACCTCACAGACCAGCCCATCATTGACACGTCCATCCCTTTTGTGGAGTAATTCGTCAACTGTTTTGAGAGTGAGCTCAATTTCACGGAGCTCATCATGGGTATGGTGTGATTGTGTTGAGATAAGCGGCTGAATTAGTTAGTTATTTGATTCCTTCATTAAATGTTGTTGGTTTTTAGCATCATCTTATAACTTTTAAAAATATTCATATAAGTGTTTGTCTTTGTAAGTACCTTAAATGTATGTACTTTCATGTATTACTGTAGTATTGTGGTGAAACAGGTGCTCGTTAAGGCAATGAAATCAAAGAAACCAACATTTCTTCGCTCTTTGGGAAGGAGTCTATATGAATTTTTTGGGGTTGTTGCTGCTGTTTTCTTTTCTTTCTTTTCTTTTTTTGCTAGACACATTTTATGTCCATTTAAAAACACATTTCTGTGAGGATTTTACTGGAAAACGTTGATTTTAGGCTTGAAGAAATGTAAATTTACAGTTTCCAAGGACATTCCAGCTTTGGAAGTCACCATTTTCTTGTCAATTTTGCTAAAGACACTAGACGACCCCCACCTCTTTCAGTCGCAAACATGTCGAGTTTTATTCAAGTTAATTAAGTGTTTATTCCATCTAAAGCAAGCTAAAGAAAAAAGAATAGAAGCTTTAAGATTATACCAATAAGTCCATATGCCCAATTGACGAGAGAGTCTAATTCCATCTCGCCGTGACGCTTATGTTACTTCTGATTCTTTTCTCTGTCCACCATCCCTCGCCCCTCTTTGGGTTTTGGTCCTCTATCCCTTTTTCTGCTTCTTGATTTTAAAATTTCCTTTCACTTCGTTTTTGTATCTTATAGACTTAGATTTTAACCATGGATTTAAACAATTCACTTTTATAGTCTACTTTCATACCCATGTTTTGTCAAGATATCTTTAAACAAATCTCTCATTTTTAAAAATTTCCCGTAAAACAAAATGACAATAACAACGAAATAAATTTTTTTTAATGTGCATAACATAAACAAAACAAGTGCAGAAAGATTTTTATTTCCCTACTTGACTAATAAATGAGAGACGCTTTATACGCAAGGCTCTTTGTGAGTTGATATGTAGCTGTACGAAATCACTCCGCAGCTGACGAGTTCAATTCTAAAGTCAGATGTTCAAACCCTGAAAAGTTTAAAAAGCAACACCACTAAGCATATTGCTTGTAAAAAAGTAGCACATTAATCTATTTGATATTAGTAGTAGTGGTGCGTTTGAAGAATAGGGCGGTTTTTCGCTGACATTACTTTGACAGAAAACAGCAACTTATTTCAAATATGGACAATATTATACATAGTTTGGTTTGTCTTTTGAGCAAATAAAAAATAGTAGCCATCGATCGCTTATAAGCAACGTTTTGACTTTGACTTTGTTAATTAATGAATTACAAATTATGTAGCTGATTTACAACTTACAGTGAATCTAATTATTCTCCCAAATGGGCCATGATCGACATTTGAAATAGGCCTCGGATACAGTAAATAAAACGTGGCCTGACGTTGTGGAATCAGGCTCTCGTCAATTTTTGGGCACATGGGGTTATTGCTATCATCTTAAAGCCTCTTCCTTTCCCTTTCTTTTGGTGAAAAAATGTCAATCTATGTTGAACAGAAGTCGAGATATTTGCAGTTGAAAGAGGTGAGGGTCGTTTGTTTCAGAGGTAAAATTTACGAGAAAATGGCCGTCAAAGTGTGGTCATTTCCATAGCTTGCGAGTCCCTGGAAACTGAACATTTTCAGTTTTTGTGCCTTTAATCACTGTTTTTTTTGGTTGTAAAACCACTACAGAAATAGATTTTTTAATGGACATTAACGGTGCGGAGCCAAAAAAAGAAAATTAGAAAAAAATTGCCTAACGGCCAGAAAAACGCCAGTTTCTTTGATATTATAATGTTGACGAGCGCCTGATTTCACCACGATGCCTCACAAATCATGTTGATAACGTTGTGTGCCTTGCTACTGAAACAAAGTGGGTTTGACCACGGAAGACAAAGACCATGACGTAGTGTGCTATACACTAAGAGTAATACTAGAAAGAGGGTTTTTCCGGGATGTATGCCAAATGTTTTTATTAGCCTCGACAAGAAATGCAGAAAAAAGTCCATTGGACTAGGAAAAATGTGGCCTTTAATTAGTAAAACATTACGACTTCGGAACAAAAATGTGGTTTGGGAAGACACATAGAGACTATTGTAGTCCAATTCAAAGGAAATCAAAACATATTTCTAATAGAAATGTATACTGGCGATCAAAAGAAAGACACCACTTTTTGATTGTGTAAAAAAAGAGAAGTATGTTGAATCTTTACGCTTTGCCTTCCACTTGAATAATTCTAAGTTAGGCTATGCTGCAAAAACAACGTCACCCCCCCCCCCAGAAACGTGGCCTCTTTTCCTGAAGACCTAGCGGATTTTTTGGATTCTTTGTTCCTAATTACTATGTTTATATGCAAAAAGCTGCAATAAAATGTGATCATTGTCACGCAAGAAAGAGGGTAGGTTTAACTCAGCATTAGAGGATATCGAGCCATAGGCGTGCTCCGCGCGTTTCTGCTGTAGCCAGGACAGCCAACGTCATTATCATTACGCACCGAGCACATGATGGCTTGGTATTCCTCAAGTTGAGTTAAACCTACTGTCTTGCTTGGGTGAAAATGATAACATTTTATTGCTGCTTCAGATAAACAAAGATCCAAACTTCAACAACAACAACAACAACAACAACAACAACAACAACAACAACAACAACAACAACAACAACAACAACAACATCAACAACAACAAAACAAAAGAATATCCGCCATGTGATAGGAGAAAAAATTACAATTTTCCTTTTTTTTCATGTTGGTGCTATGAACACTAATTAAAGCACCAAAATGTTATTTTTATAACATGACCTACGTCATATACAACTTAATGCAAACACACACTTATATACGCTCACACAAACACACATACATACAAAGACACATACATACACGTAAACTCACACAAACACATACACAAACACACTTAAAAGCACATTCATAGGGATAAACGCCCAAAAGCAAGAGATCAAGTGCAAATAAATAATAAATACACGCATGCACGCACACCCCCCCCCCCACACACACACAGCACGCACGCGTGCACACACATACATACACACACACATACATGCATACAGACACACATATCAATACACATGATTTTGAATCAGGTAAATTAATGCCGTTATAAAATTCTGACCATGCAGCAGAAATTAACGAAACCAAAATTATAATTAGCTCCGTTCATTTACAATCGATGCGTACATATGTTATTTGGAACCAGCAGGACGTGTCTAGCTAATATGGATCGGCCTCTTGGTTTCAGGGTTTAGCTAATGTTTAATTTATAATATCTATTTGTTCAGTTTGTTAACTAGATCATTTATGAAAATTCGTATCATGTATAGGTTATATGATATTTGCTGCACACTTTTTTGTTTTTTTTGGAATATAAAATTAAAATAAATAGCATATTTTGTATAGCTCAAATTCCCGTTTACCATCAAATTCTGCGTGCCTGCTTTACAATCTGTATTAATTCCGGGTGTCCCATTTGAAACACCAAGAAAGAACATTTTTGACTTCTCTCTTCCGGTTTTTTTTAGATTAGTGTGTGCGTGCGGCATTTCTGAGTCATACGTAAAGCTCAAAAAGGAAGAATTTTGTAAAATAACACAATATTTTGTTTATCTTTCTCTCGAGAATGAAGTATTGTAGTTAGCGTGCCTGGGGCGTACAACCCTCTGCAGGTTGTAGGAAGTTTCGTTAAATCACAAGTTGATCTAGTTCGATACATCTGAGGGAGGACAGGGTTTTTTCCTACTTGGAGGGGCAAGAGCTATTATTTGAGCCTTTGATCAACCTTTTTTTTGCAATAAAGTCTGCGCAGAAATGTGATTTTAAATGAACATAAAATGTGGTGAACCCAAAACAAAACAAAAACAAAAAAGGCCCCCCCCC